ACCCCCAATTCCAACATCAACTTCGGGGAATGCTAATGGAGTGTTCATAGGGTACAAAGACAGATCACGTGGGGGAGAGTATTTGGCAAAGGGTCATGAACTCATGATTTTGTTTTGGCACACATGGTGTTTGATTAATATATGATAGAAATATGGTTTCTTAGAGAAGGCCTAATTATGTATATTGGTTTCTTGTACATAAGATGTTTGATAGAAATGTGTGTGAATGATGTTATGTTGAGGATGATCGACTACCAAGAGCCTTTACATTAGAATCAACTTTGTCGGATGGACTTGTGGTTACCATTGTTTCTTTCGGAGATTTGAAGCTACCATTGATCGAAAAGAAAGATATATCACAACTATTAGAAAAATAAATTGGTGCTAGTTGTGCATGCTTGAATTAGAAAAGTGAATGGGAGCTTGCTGTGTATGGTCGAGAGATTTGAAGCAACTGTTTTATTTCCATGTTGTATATGATTCATGCCGTATTAAAAAATATTTTAGTTCTTGAACGTGAGCAAATTTTGTGTGGTTGTGAAATAGAGCTTGTTGTGTTCAATAAATATTTTACTTACAACTATTAGAAAAGTATAAAAACATATAACGTTCTAATTTTGAATGTCAGAGTACAACGTTTTCTGTACAAAGTTGTAGGTGTAAATTTTGATCTCCCGAAAACAGGGAACTTCGTTTGTATTGATAAGAAGGCTTATTACAAACTAATAAATCAAATGTTTACAACAGAAGCGGAGGGAAGTCCCTCCTTGTTTAACGTGGGTTCCTCGGTGGCGATAGGACGCCTCGCTCGGTGCTCGCGCCGAGTCTGCTTCCCTTGGACGATCCGATCGAAGTTGCTGGAGAGCTTCAGTACGCAGTAGAAGCTCGAGTCGATGGAGTTCGGGTCTTCTAGTTCACCGACGATCAGGGCTCAGAACTAGGAGAAGACGCTACAGTGCAAGAGTTATGCAAAGAGCTTGTCGTCGACTCGGTTGGGAGTCGAGAGCCAGTGGTTCAGTTAACTGATTGAATTAATCAATTAACTATGTGTGAACCCCTTTCCTGTAGCCGGGCGAGGTTCTTAAATAGAGGAGAGATGGCGTGGCCGCTCCTTGAATCATGGGATGTGACCATACACTGTTGAGAGACATCTTGCTGTTCATCTGTACCATGAGCGGTCATTCGAGGAGTCGTGTTTGGCATCACGTCAAGTAGGAGCGGGAAAGCCCCTCCTCGTATGTGTGACGACGGTTGTCAGATACTCGAGTGGATCTGACCAACCACCGAGCGCCGGCGGCTCTCACCCTTCGCTTGGACAAGTGAGGTGAGTCGCATTTATGAGGGTGCAGGTTGATTTGGCGTTTGTCTGACCACTTGTACCGTGAGCGGCTATACCGTGTCTTCTCTCTTCAGGCCGAGAGAGGTGGGAAAGCGGGTTCCTGGTACTCGAGTGGGCTTGGACAGCTCGCCGGGTGCTGGCGGATCCGACTCTTGACTCAGACAGCCGAGGTGAGCTGCATTTATGAATGTTCAGGTCGACTTGACACCTGCCCAATCATTCGTACTGTGAGAGGCCGCTTGACGGTCTTGGGGTACTGTGTCCTCTCCCTTGATTTGTGGGATTTGACCACTGATGTAACTGTTCCCATGCTCCCAGTGGGCAGTTGACAGTGAGCTGACGAGTCTGCAGCTTGGGTCTGCAGGCGAGCTTGGGACTGCAGGCAGACTTGGGTCTGCAGGCGAGCTGAGTCTGCAGGCGAGCTTGGGACCGCATGCAGACTTGGCTGCCGGCGAGTGGGATTTGACCACTGATGTAACTGTTCCCATACTCCAAGTGGGCAGTTGACAGTGAGCTGGCGAGTCTGCAGCTTGGGTCTGCAGGCGAGCTTAGGACTGCAGGCAGACTTGGGTCTGCAGGCGAACTGGGTCTGCAGGCGAGCTCAGGTGTGCAGGCAGACTTGGGTCTTGATCCTGCAGGCGAAATTCGAGCTGCAGGCGAGCTCTTGAGCATGGATCGAAGAATAGGCCGTAACTTTCAAACCGTAAGTCGGAATTAGACGAATTATATATGAAAATCGCCTATCTCAACGAGATGGAGCCATCCGAACCCAGCCGAAGGCTTCGGTTCACTTTCTCCGTTTCGCCAAATTCCTTACGGTTTGGGAGATATCTGTGTTTTCCCCCTTTTTTGCTATTTCGGGCGAGGTTTTAGCAGTTTTGTTCTGAACTTCTCTGATAAGGATTTAAAGGCAATTTTTATTGCCTACAAAAGTATCATATCATATCATACTCATTTTAAAAGCACGAGCTTGGGAAAATATTTCGTTAGACAAAAATACCCTTGAAATTCAAATACTAATTCATTAAGTAAAAGTAAGTTGATAAATTGATGAATTCTTATTGGATATACATAATATGAAGGTACAAAATAATTTAAATTAAAATGTAAACTTGAATGAAATGATTAAATATCAAATTTATAAATGTATACAAGATGAAGGGCGTATATGCATAAACCAAACAATTTAACGAGGGAAAATAATGTCTACTCTAAAGATCGAACCCAGGAGCAATGCAAACCTACAAATGTACATAATGTGGACATGTTATCTACAAAATCCACCGCACAAATTAAAGAGACAAAATCATTCTCAAAAATAAAAATTAAAAATTAAAACAAACGATTGTGATCTGAGGACACAACGTGATGATCTCTTACCGACTAAAATTTAAGTAGTCACAGTAGTGCATAATTAGTTTCAAAGTTTAATTATACTATCATTATTTAAATAGAACTCTATTTATAATTATTATCCTCTCACATGCAACATTACATACTAATATATATAAGCTAAAAACTTATAACAATTTTCATGGCACTTTCATCAGCTTTTATATGTATGTGTCTTTGTTATTTTCTTCTTATTAGATTGGATTAGATTATCTTAAAGTAATTAATCATATTTTATATTTAATCTTTTTTCATATTAAGAAATAACAATAATTTTCACAGCACTTTAATATCTATTTTCTTATCATTAGATTAGATTAGATTATTTTAAAATAATTAATTATATTATATGTTTGATTTTTTAAGATAAAAAACTATAATAATTTTCGCAGTACTTTCATCTCCTTCAACATGTATATGTCTTTGTTATTTTCTTCTTATTAGATTAGATTAGATTGTTTAATAATTATTAAATATAAAATTACAACAATTTTCACATTATTTTTATCTATTTTTTCCCTTATAAGATTATATTAGGTTATTTAAAGCAATTAATTATATTATATGTCTGATATTTTTTTTCAAATCACAACGTTTAATTATAGTATTATTATTAAGATAGATGTATTTGTATAAAAGTCAAAGAGAATCTTACACGTATCTTAGATCTCAATGCCAATTGTAATACTTACATATGTGTGTTGGTTAAAATAAATTTCATATATGAGGTTAACTTATATGATCCTACTTTAACTGGATTAGATAATTTAATTTTTTTCTTTACACCCAAACTCTTTCAGAAAACCAAAATAGAGTAGCAATACTATTGCTATATATATCCACAAGACCACAATTATATTGAAAATGAATGAAGAAAATCACACAAATAAAAACCATATTAATTACCCACACACACACTGTTTTCAAAACCACTATTCTCTATCTCCATCTATAATATATCCACATACCCAAATTAAGCTGCTAGAGTTTCTCCTCACCAACTACACTATTGATCAACTCCTTTTTTTTTGTACTTAAATTATATAACATTCATGATGATGAAGACTCACCTGGGTCCTCTGCCTACCTTGAACGCATAAAAAAAATATACTATGCTTTGTAGTTAGTTAATAGTGAGATACTATCATTATAAATAACTTAAATAAAAATGAATAATTCTTAAGAATATACTACGTTCCACTAGTTTCCACTGTAAAGTTGTTAGTTGTTTATTTCTGACCTCAAGAGATTTTTAAAATTAATCTTGATGGTTGTTTACACTAAAAGAATTATGTTAGTGCGCCCATACAGTCTATTTTATTATTTAAAATTGTCAACACTTTTTGTCTCTGATACATATCAATTATGAATAATAATATAATTCGATTGATTCAAGTATATCCTAATATATTTCTAGACTCTTGTCATATCTTTTAATCTTTATTATGTATTGACCTGATATCACAATTGATCGAGACGATAAAGTCATTACTGTAGAATTGTATGGGATAAAGATAAATGTGGAGAAAGATTGATCTCAGCTCAATTAAATATGAAACAAGAAGGAATTTTTAGAAGGGTTTTTCACGCAAAATTTTTAATATGCTTATGTGAATGCTTTTGTCATATAAAATTATATTAGAATTATCATTAATCTTTAGTATATATTTTTTATTTTAAATCTATCAATAATTAAGATATCTTGTAGTATTGTGAAAAGTATGTGTTCTGTGCTGAGCTTATACAAACCATATTAATATTAATTATTTGGTTATATATTTATTAACACATCAACAATATATTATTATATTTTTTTCAAACTTAACACTACATTTTATGACTAAGATAAACAAATTGGAGAGCGATGATTTGATCTAATAAACAAATATGTTACATGAAGTTTGATATATACAAATTTTAAAAAATAATATTGTGTATGCAAGTATATTGATCACAGTTTAACACACAACTCTATTTCACAAATTTTTTAAATATTTAAATAAAATTTATGGCAAATGTAATATCCATGTTATAGATTTTAACTTAAAATGTATCTAATTTATTTTATAGTAAAAAAATAAACAATTTTGATATTTAAACCACGTGCATTGCACGTGCACAAAAGCTAATAGCTCCTTAAAAAAACCAGCATTTGAGCGATTGTGCCTCTTGCCCAACCAAGCGGATCCATTACTCATTACCCGCGCCGCCCGCTTGTTGCCCAGATCCGTCTACCCTCGCCGCGCAATTTAGCAGAGAACAGCACGCCTCGGAGTCGAACCTTCGTCGCCAAACCCTAATGTAACGCTCTAAAACCCCGTTCCTCTTTTGCCCCCCCTCCGCAATTAAAAGGGCGAACCTTAGAAAATCAAAAGTGGAGAGAGGAAAGCAAAAAAGGAGGAAAGGAAAAAAAAAAAAAATCTCTTCTCCTTCCTCCTGTTAACTTGATCAAAACCCTAGTTTTGGTCAATGGACATCGAGCGTAAGCAAGCGGAGATCGTCGATCACTTCGTGAAGCAGGCGGCGGTTCTCGACGCGGAAGCGTCCCTCGCCAATCTCATCGCAGAGGCGACCTCTCACCCTTCGCTCTTCGCTTTCTCCGAGATCCTCTCGGTTCCCAATCTCACCAAGGTACGACAATCTCGTAACTTTTGATGCCTGAATTGATGAAAACCCTAGCTCTTGAATTGAAACCCTAGTTTTTCTGGGTGCAGCTCGAGGGGACGCAGTTTGCTTCGCATCTTGAATTGCTTCGATTGTTTGCCTACGGTGCTTGCAGCGATTACAAGAGTAAGAGCTATGTTGACTGTGTAATTGATTGTGTGCCCTAGTTTTCGGGCTATTTGCTCTGGTTTTGTTTGCCTTAGGTTGTTCTGTTTTGTTTATGTTGATTTAATAATGCAAACCATGATTATATGATTGTTTGGTTAATGTGTGTGCATCTTTAAGGGTTTGCTCTTAGGGTTGATTCGTTTTCAAATGATCGAAAAATGATTGTTAGTAGATTTTATGTCAGCTTTCGGTGGAGAGTTCGAGTAGATTTTGTTGCAGGAGTGGAGTATACGGTGGAGAGGCCAAACAATTAGGTTTTTTTGGCTATTTTGTTCATGAAAAGACAATTTTGCCTTGTGAATAGTCCCACATTGGAAAATGAGATGAATAGTAAGGGGTTTGTATTGGTTCACCTCTTATTGGGCCTTGAGTAGTGTTTTGGGCTTTGTATTGTTTGGGCTTTGCATAACTCACGCGCGCACGCCACGCCTCGCCGCACCGCACACAATTTTTGGTTCTCAAAACTTTAATTTTTTAGTTTTGACTCGGTCATGAGAATGTGTGTAACGGCTCTGAGAACGTGCGTGATATCTGAGTAACGGGTGCACGAGATGTGGAGAACGTTCGCGTTGATCCAACAATGACTACTGCTTCCGACTCCTATAAATAGAGGCTTCCTAATTGGGAAAAATACAAAAACAATCTCTTCTCTCTTCTTCTCAAACGAGAGCTTCTCCCTCCTCTCTTAAAATTATTGGCTACTGTTAATTTTCTTTTGGGCAACATTCTTCATCTGAGCAGAAGCTTTGCCACTCTCGCCCGAGTATAGAGTCCGGCTAAATTCTGGGGGTTTTTACCGTTTGGGGAGAGAACCATCTGCCCCAGGGTGATAGGCGGGTCTTCAATCTTCTAGGACAGTGTTTACACGACTGTTCCCGATCAGGTCAGGATTTCTAATTTTTTATTTTTGGATTTTTTATGCTCATATTTTTTCATTTTTGACAACAATCTAAAAGATTGAATTATTGCTGTCTAAAATAATTTTAATTAATTGCTCTTAATTTTGTTAATTGCTTTTAATTACTACAAAAATTTTTCTGTTCAATTTTATTTGGAATTAATCCAAAAATAAAATAATTGGTTTTTTTGGAAAAGTTACTGTTTATTTCGCGAAAAAATTACTGTTAAAAAATATTTTAAATTATTTATTTGTTAATTAATATTGTTTATTTGTTGCTGTTTAACTAGAAGAAAAAAAATCAATTATAGCTTAAATTATTTATTGTATTAGAATCATATTATTTTAATTTTACTGTTCAAGTTTATTGATCAAAGTCATATTCCTAAGTATCTAGTCTAGTGGTATTGATAAAAACATTTGCTCCCGATCAGATTCTAAATACCTAGACTAGTAAATTTCAATCGAACTTATGACTAATTCTGATCATTTCAAGAGTGTCAAACCTGAGAAGTTCACCGGTGTTAACTATAAATAGTGGGCTAATCAGATGAGATACTAGCTCACCACCCTAGGTCTTCTATCTACCATAGACACTCCCGAGTCTTCATCCAGTGGTTCTAACCCTCCAACTCTCCTGTTTATGGTCCTCAACCTAAACCTTCTCCTTCCACTTCTGGTTTTGGTGCTAGCTCATTTTCTAGCTCTATGAAACCAGAAGAAATCAACTATCATTGTTGTCATAGGATTCTTAGCGCACTTGCGGACAACCTTTATGACATATATTATGAGTTCAAAAGTGCTAAAGACTTATGAAATGCTCTTGAAGCAGAATATGACTATGATGATGCCGAAATTCTGCGTTTCGCCTCCTCTTCCTTCAATAAGTTCATGATGGTTGGTGAAAAACCCATTAATGAACAAATTCATGAATTCTAAGATTTTTTCCGTCACCTCCAATCAACTCCAATCAAAGGGAAACTCCTTTACTGATGACTTTAAAGTTTTTTGTTTGATTGATAAACTTCCTCCCTCCTGGTCTAGATTTGCTAAAGATCTCCGACACAAGCAAAGAGATATAACCTTAACTGAAGACCTCAAGGCTATTCGCATTGAAGACCAGCATAGGTTAAATTTCAAAATCAAGACCGAAATGAAAGCTAAAGTAAACTTGGTAGAGGATAAACCTAAATCTAAGAATTTTAAACCCAAATGGAAGAAATTCAAGAAAAAACCAGTAATACTTCAACAAATCATCATTTTCCAAATCCAATCCCAACTCTTCCAGTCATAAATCTGATGAAAAGTTCTGTTATGTCTGTGGTAGAACCAACCACTTGGCTCCCAGCTGTTTCTATCGGAAGAAGACACCGGCTAAACGTGCTCCTAAAGGAAATGGATCCAATAAAGTTAACATGATTGAAGAGAATCCAAATTCCTTCAGGTTAGCCTCTTTATCCTATCTTGTAAATTCTCTTACTTCTTCCAATGACTGGTATTTGGATTCCGGAGCTAATATTCATGTTTGCAATGATCTCTCTTGGTTTTTAACTTATCAGGAATCACGAGGAGAAAGCATAAGCTTACCAGATGACTCCACCAAACAAATAATGGGAAGTGGATGCATAGAGCTCACCATGACCTCTGGGAAAGCTCTGAATCTGCAAGACGTTCATCATGTTCCTTCTCTCCGCCGCAACCTGATTAGTGAATCTCTTCTTCTTAGAGCCGGATATAAGATTGTAAAAGAATCTAATAAATTTGTGATTACAAAGAACAATGTATTCATAGGAAAATGTTTTACTTGTAATGGCTTTTTCAAGCTCAATGTAATCAATTCCAGTTCTAATAAAATTTCTGAGTTTTCTGTTGCGTAAATTATTGAGTCTTGTGATGTTTGGCATGGACGACTTGGACATATCAATTTCCAAACATTGCAGAGAATGATTAAATTGAACCTTATTCCTAAATCACCTTATGATCCCTCATCTAAGTGTGAGATTTGTGTTCAAGGGAAACACACCAAAAATCCCTTCAAGTCTATAACTAGAAACTCCGAACCTCTCGAATTAATTCATAGTGATGTGTGTGACTCAGACCGAGTTCTCACTCGAGAGGGCAGGAGATATTTTATGACATTTATAGACGATCACTCCAGATATTATTACACGTATCTTCACAAGACTAATGATGAAGTTTTAGATAGGTTTAAGGTGTATAAAGCTGAATCTGAGAACCAACTTGACAGAAAGATTAAGATTCTAAGATCTGATCGTAGGGGTAGTATACCCCAAATGATATGACTAAATATTATCAGGAACACATTATTCATGAGGTAACTACTTCCTATACACCACAGTCTAACGAGATAGCTGAACGAAAGAATAGAACTCTTATGGACATGGTGAACTGTATGTTACTCAGTTCAGGAGCATCTGAAAATCTCTGGGGTGAAGCTCTTCTTTCTGCATGCTTCATTCTTAATAGGATTCCCCACAAATCTTCTGATACAGCTCTTTATGAATATTGGAAGGGGAGAACTCTTAGGTTGAACTTCTTCCGGGTTTAGGGTTGCTTGGCTAAGATAGCTTTTCCCGAACCTAAGAAGAGAAAAATTAGTTCTAAGACTGTTGATGCTGCTTTTATTGAATATGCACTAGATAACAATGTTAACAGATTTCTAGTAGTTAACTCTGAAATCAGTGACATATCCAACAATACTATCATTGAAGCAAGAGATGCACTGTACTTTGAAAACATCTTTCTTTTCAAATCCAAAATCTCAGAAAATCCTAATTTATCTCTTCCGTCTGATCTACCATCTTCCAGTTCTTTTCAACCTTTAGATATTGAACCTTTGAACCTCGAAGAAGTAAAAAATGTAGAATTCAAAAGGATTTTGAAGAAGATTTCTTTACCTTTCTTGTTAAAGGTGATCCAAGCTCATTCAAGGAAGCAATGGATTCACCTGAATCTCCTTTTTGAAAAGAGGCCATTAATAATGAGATTAAATCTATCATGAAAAATCATACTTGGATACTCACCAACTTACCTCCAGGTTGTAAACCTGTTAGTTGTGAGTGGATATTCAAGAAGAAACTTAGAGCTGATGGTTCTATTAATTAATATAAAGCTAGATTAGTAGCTAAAGGCTATACTCAGCAAAAGGGCATTGATTACTTTGATACTTATTCTCCTGTAGCCTTTGCTGCTATTCATAAGTTGATCATACATCAGATGGATGTCAAGACTGCTTTCTTAAATGGTAATTTTGATGAAGAAATCTATATGAATCAACCTGAAGGTTTCGTTGCCAAAGGTTAATAAAACAAAATCGGCAAAACTTGTTAAATCTCTGTATGGTCTAAAACAAGCTCCTAAACAATGATACTAGAAATTTGACAGAGTCATTGCACAATATGACTTCACTGTGAATGAACATGATAAGTGTGTTTATTCAAAAGTGATAAACAATGACTATGTCATCCTATGTCTTTATGTTGATGATATCCTTATCTTTGGAACAATTCTTGAATTAATTTCAAAGGTTAATGATTATCTCTCCATGAACTTTGACATGAAAGACTTAGGTCTTGCCGGCATGATACTTGGAATGAAAATCACTAGAGACGTTAGAGGAATCTCTTTGAGTCTTTCTCATAGTATTGAGAAAATACTGATCAAATTCAATTTTCATAACTCTAAACCTGTTTTCATACCTTATGATTCTTCTATATCTTTGAAGAAGAATGAAGATGAACTTGTCTCCTAGCTGAAGTATTCTCAGCTGATTGGATCTCTCGTATACATATCCAATCGGATCAGACCCAATATAGCTTATGCTGTAGGGAGATTGAGCCGGTATACTGGTAACCCTAGCAAAGATTACTGGATTGCCTTAGAATATTCAAATACTCAAAAGACACAGTTGACTATTGCTTGACTTACACTGGGTATCCTGATGCTATAGAAGGGTATAGTGACGCTTACTGGGTCACAGATTTTAACAGTGTAAAGTCTACATCTGGATATGTATTCTTTTTTGTGGTGCTGTTGTATC